GCCCGCGGGCGCTGCGGGCCCTCACCGGGTGCCTGCTGGGCGCCCTGGTGCTGGGCACGCTGGTGGGCAACGCGCTGGTGTGCCTGGCCGTCCTGCGGTTCCGCCACCTGCGCGCCAAGGTCACCAACTGGTTCGTGCTGTCGCTGGCCGTCTCGGACCTCTGCGTGGCCCTCCTGGTGATGCCCTGGAAGGCGGTCACCGAGGTGGCCGGCGGCTCCTGGCTCTTTGGCAGCCGCTTCTGCGACACCTGGGTGGCCTTCGACATCATGTGCTCCACCGCCTCCATCCTCCACCTCTGCATCATCAGCCTGGACCGGTACTGGGCCATCGCCAGCCCCTTCCGCTACGAGCGCAGGATGACGCAGCGCCTTGCCTGCGCCATGATAGCCGTGGCCTGGGCCCTCTCCATCCTCATCTCCTTCGTCCCAGTGCAGCTACACTGGCATAAAGCCGAGGACAGGAGCTATCCGGGCTCCCGGCAGCCTGGGACGCCCCGCTGCGACGTCAGCCTGAACCGCACTTACGCCATCGCCTCCTCCCTTATCAGTTTCTACATTCCCGTGGCCATCATGATCATCACCTATACCAGGATCTACCGAATCGCCCAGGCCCAGATCCGCCGCATCTCCACCCTCGAGCGAGCGGGGGGGCAGTGGCCACCTCACGGCAAGGAGCCCACCTCCTCATTGCGGAGTTCCCTGCGCAAGGAGACCAAGGTGCTGCAGACCCTCTCTATCATAATGGGAGTCTTCGTCTGCTGCTGGCTGCCCTTCTTCCTGCTCAACTGCCTGCTGCCTTTCTGCCAGCCCGAGCTCGAGAGAGACCGCGAAGGACAGTCGCCCTGTGTTGGCCAAACCACCTTCAACATCTTTGTGTGGTTTGGCTGGGCCAACTCCTCAGTGAATCCAGTGATCTATGCTTTCAACGCAGACTTCAGGCGGGCTTTCAGCAACCTCCTGGGCTGCCAGTGCTGCTGCTGTGGCACACCCAGATCCACTGTGGAGAGAGTCAACTTCAGCAATGAGCTGGTTTCCTATCACCATGACACCACCTGCCAGAAGGAAGGAGCTGCCTCGTCGTCAGTACCCCCCACTGCCGTCGCTGCCTGGGTGCAGCCCATACCCCATGCTGTAAACCTGCAGGGAGAGGACAGCAGTGAGGAGATGTCTATGGAGAAGAGGCCTGTGACTTCTCAGGCACAGGCTGCCCCTGGCAGCAGCCCCAAGAGTCGTCAAGTGCCAGCTATTTTGCAATTGGATTGTAAGGCAGAGCTATCCCTGGAAACTATTACCCCCTGTGCAGGGCTTGGTCGGTGTGAGGGACCTCATCACCCTGTTCCGGAGGGATAAGTGATTGCGTGTTTCTCACGCACACAGCCGTCCCACAGGGAGAGATCACCCTGCCTCCACGTAAGCTACGCCTGTCCCCCAGCAAACAAAGTCCCATCCCAGAAAGATGGGAACCTGCTGCTCTTACCGCAGAGGGGTGACAGGCATGTGAAGTCCATTCCAAAAGCATATAGCAGCCACACATTAACCTCTTCCCATGGCCACCTTCACCCCTTACTCTCTTTCACAGTCAGTAGGCATTTCCCATGCACTTGTTCACCCCCCTTCTTCAAACTTGTGATATTTATTAAGAATAGTGAGATAATTAGATCAAAATAAAAACAACTCATAGTTTGAGACTCTGTAATATAATCTTATGTAGATAACTTATTATTAGATTTAGCTTCATTGCTAAAACCCATTCCCCCCCCCCCCCCCATGGTTTCACATCATACATGTGCATAGTTCTGGTCTTAGAGGTTTGCGTATGGTTTTAACTCCGTGTTTATTTCAAAGCCGCGTGCCTGGATTTACATGTCTGAATCTGTGTTTAGGCTCTTAAATAAAAATTGCTCTATTAAAAAATCACTATCTTATGTTGAGTCAAAAGACTTCTCAAAACCCTGGAAAATTAAGTTGCTTTTATATAGGATCCCAAACACAGTTTCAGGTGCCTAACTTTGGTATCCAGGCTTAATGATAGTTGAGCTAGGGTCTTCCTCATTCTTGAGTGTCAGAAAATGTATCCTTGTATGAGGCTGAAGTTACAGTGGGACAGTGTTTGAGAACTAACACTACAACTCCAGAGTGATTTAAGCTGCTATTAGCTGAGGCAGCTGTAATCCTTCCTTTCTCCTACTAGTTCAGGCAGCTAATCCTTCCAGAAAGCAAGCTGGTCCACAAAATAAAAAGCGACCAGGTCACCTCTCTGAACCCATTTCACTACCTGTAGACATGAACAGCAACAAAAGGCAGAGCAAATGGGTGTTGGATGGCTTGCAGGAGAGGAAGTACTGGGGGAACTTGACGATCATTTCTGTATGTGTAAAAGGGTTCAGCAGATACTAAGGGAATACAGTGGCACCTCACTGTCCTCCACTTACCTGTCCACTGCTTCGGAGTTTTGTTGCTGGCCGTTTAATACTGTACTCCACTAACCACCATCATTACCCTGTTTTTCTGTCCTTTGCCTATGATTGAGTTGATTGACCTCGATTCATCTAAGGAAGATGATGAAGATGCAACTGCCCAGAAAGAGACATCAAGAATACTTACACTGCAAGAGTTTTCTTGGACATTGTCTCAGAGGTGGCACAGCTGATATCTTTCTGAACAGTGATCCATGCTGAAAAGCCAGACTTTCCTCCCAGTGATCCTGCTCCCTGTGAATTTAAACCATCTGTAGTTCTTCAGTCCCTGTACGCATTTCACCCCATCACATTAATTCTTAAGGGAAAAATTGCTTTTGCTATTCTGCTCTTTTCAGGAATGTGTCCTTGATGGTTAGTTGGGTGTGACTGTAATGAGTTCTTCAGGGCCAAGACTGGCAGGACAAGAGGTAATGGGCTTAACTGTAAGAAAGACCAAGGCAAGACTTTGGAAAAAACTTCACAAGAATAAGGATAATTAAACACTGGAGTAGATTGCCTAGGGAGATTATGACATCTCTCTCAGTAAAAGTCTTTAAGACGATATTGCTAAACATCTGTCAGAAATGACACTGGCATTGTTAATCCTGTCTTGGGGCAGAGGCATAGCGTAATGGTTTCTGGAGATCTTTTGTAGTCCTGCTTCACTATGACAACACAACTCCTTAAGCATTGAGCTTAAGATGTTTGATTTTTTTATATTTTTTTTTGCATACAATGATCCTTAGCTATTTCCTTTAAGGCAAAGAAGCATACAGATAAGAACTTTGAGACCCCATTGGTACATTTCCCTTCTTCACTTAATGATTACCCATTTTTCTTAGCACTTAACAACTGTCATCCAGTATGCCTAGTGCCTCATCCAGAGAATAACACTGAAATAAACCTAGTATTTCCTTAAAAGAGACACAAGGTCTGTGGTTTTTGTTTTGATTCCCTTTGATTATTTTCTACATGATCATACGTGAACTGTACATGGATTCAGATGGTAAAGGGTCAATCAATTTGTGAGAGGATTTTCCTTGCCACATTTCTTCCTTCTTACACAAACCAGAAACACATATAGTAAGAGTGTCAGGATCTTTTACCTCCTCCAAAAAACCAAAATTGCATCTTAGCACTGTGGAAGACTTCTTGTTTCACCCCCTCCACACTAAAACCCATCCTGGGGATATACCAACACACCTGATAAGACACTGTCCTGAAGTGTGACTCCCTCGCTGCCTGCTACACTTCTGTTTCTGTTGCAAGAGCTTCAGTTGGCTCCAACTCTCAGAGAGTTAACTCTCCCTGCCCACACACGTCTTCCTTCTCGTGGGCAGGCAGTCTTCTGGCAGTCAAGGCTACGCATGAAATCATTATGCACAGGAGCTTTTTTTTTTGTGTGCATGTGTACAGTCCTATTATTAGTGATAAAAGCTGCTAATTAGTGGAAGGGAAATATTTACCTTCTCACAAGGTTTGCCCTGCCTATGGAAGCTGTCTCACCCAGGAAGTAGTCTGGACTTAATACATAGAGTGATGAAAGCTTAGTGTATGAGAGAGTGGGTGGCAGAAATTAAGCAATGAATATATTTGAATAACATTTTCTCTGAAGAATAATCAGAAATGCATGGTAGCTTTGATTTATGAAACTATATTTGTGTTAAGAATAGAGAAAGCTATTTGTACCAGTGCTTGTGGCTATAGTTTAAATAAGGTTCATTAATAGGTCACATTGTACCTGAAAATAAATGGATATTTACCTGAAGAAAAAAACTGGTTTTTACTGAAAATTTTTAAAGGGACAATTTAAATTGTTCTTTGTAAGTGATACTGCAAATAATTGTTTGGACCTAATTGATAATGGTCATTACTGATGTGCAGATGATATACGTTATGGTAGTTTACAGCTGTAAGGTCCATTGTAGTAAGTGCAGTGTAATGTTCAAGGCTGCAATAAATTTCAGAAATTGCATATTGTAAACTGTTTATACTCATTTTAAGTGGCATATTACTGAAGGTACTTCGTATGAAAGCTATACCGCATAGCCCTTCAGACTACATCTTCTGCTGTTGCTGATTTAAAAAGACATAAATATTGATACTGTATGTATTTTTATTCTCCTAGACTGGGAAGGCTCCTGAATGTTAAGCATACTACAGACCACACAGTTCTGTGAACAGTAAATAAGCAAGACTTATTTTCCCAAGAATTTTTTTCTAGTGTCTAACTGTGATTTCTAATTGACATTTTTCTCATGACAAGGTAAGCTGCTGTGTTAGATTACACAAGATTCAATTAGCATTGTTACATTCAAGTCTGATGACATATATTAAAGTTATTACAAAAAGCCAAAGGTTTACTTAAGCAGAAATTAAGAGGCAAAATTATTTCCTGTTTACACCATTGCAGCCACTCAAAAGAAACACGTTCCAAAGAAAAACTTGGCAGCACTTTGGTGTGCATTTCTGAGTCACAACTTTCTTGGCTTGGCAGGACAAAATAAGTCACAACTGGTGAAGGTATTATTTTAGGGAAATCTATGGCTGTTCCTCAGACTCACTTTTTATAACTCAGTTTATCGAACCTACATACTTCTTTATGGATTCACCACAATATATGTAAGGTATCCACTGACTAAAAGCAGTTCACTGTAATGGTATTGTAAATGTGGAACTACTAATGTCACAGTGAGCTAAAAAATAGCTTTTAAATAGCCTTGGTGTCAAAACAGTCCAACCTCACAGATACCTTAACTAAAAACTCTTACTAGCCAACCTCTAAACAACCAAATCAAAACATGTTCCAGTTCAGTGAAGTACAAGTGGTAGGGCTTTACGATGTATACCAAATGCCTTCCAGTTCAAATAATTCCCACTTCCTTTCCTTCTGTCAGCCTACAAAGTTCTCAACCAGCTACAGGTCCTATTTCTTTGTTACACAACTGAAATGAGTACAAACTTCTTGTGGTCAATTAAAAGCTTATGTAGCTGAGCTGCCACGGCAGCCCTTCTCCCTATTATATCACACATGAGGAATAGGGATAATGTCTCCATAGCCTCCTTGGGTGGCTGTAGAGAAGCTTACCCAGCTGAGAGCTTTTCCCTGCTGTCACATTTCTCTGAAATTGTTCATTGGGTTTAAAAGTTAAGCATGGGGGTGAACGGAGACAGATACGTGCATGCATGTGTTCGTGCCTTCTTAGACAACCAGGCTAGAAAGTAAACAGCGTTCTTCAAGGAAAAGGAAACTTAAACCTCAAGGCAGGGCTGTCTAGAGCTGGAGGTAGAGCAGAGCAAGGACAAGAACTCCTTCCTGGTGAAAGACAAAAAAGGCTGGTCCTACACCCCTGTGTGGCTGAGGTGCCAGGTGACATTTCAGTAACCAGCCATCAGGGTGTTGTTTCTAAAAACAAATGTAGTGCCACCAGTCACATGCAGCACCTCTGTAGCAGGAGGCAACAGCAGGACAGCAAAGATGTACTTGAACACCACACTGATGTAAAGTTTCATTTTGTTTCCTAAGCAATATTTTTAAAAGATTAACTACAAAGCACATGCATCTTTGCCATTACGCTTACATTTTTGTGTTCTGTTGTTTATTGCTTATCTGTTTGCCTGTCATCTGATTTATGTAGGGCTTTATTTTGCATTACACACAAACTCAGAGATCGCCATTGACTTCAAGAAGCTTGTTACAGCTATGACACTGCCTCTACACATATCAGTTACAGGAATGAGAAAGGACTGAAAAAGCATGCGTCACTTGGCATAAGAAAACATAAAGCCTTGGGACAATTCTGCAATTCAAACCATAGTAACAGAAAAATAAATTCTCAAAGAAACTCCCTGTTAGCAAAATCCTAATAAGCAAAACCTAAAAAGACTGGA